TGTAATATTTTGACTGAAATGAATTAATATTTTTGGCTGATTTTAAAAAAGAAATTTATAATAACACTAGTCGTGATAGTGATTTATAAGAAGGAAAGATATAAAGATAAATTATAAGAAGGAAAGTGATCACATAGTTCGATTTTTTTGTTAACTTTGTTTAAAAAAAAGTTTGACAACACAAGTCGTTATAAACCATTTTGGTGTTTATTATAGGTATTGTTTTTAACCTATGCTTAAGCTACACCCCTATGACGGCTATACCACTCTCTCTTTTCTTGTATGATTTGGTTTCATGACTAATCCATCGTATTGAAAGATAGTATTTCAGTATTTCTACGTATACAAATGTTCAAATTATTATTTAATTTACTTTTCTTCCAGCTAACTGGTAAATTAACAAAATCATTTAAAAAATTAATTAATCCAGTCTTTCCTACTGCATAAGCAAATTGTGATGTATATATATGTATAATATATATATTGTATATATATATATATATGTGTGTGTGTGTGTGTGTGTGTTATGTGTATTTATTTACAATGTACATACGTTTGGAAACTTTATCTAAACAAGTCTGCGGTATAAATGCAAAATTAGTCGTCTACCAGGCCTCTTTCTTTAATTAAACTGTCGTCGGTTCTTGCTCCGGCACTCATAATAAATAGATTTTTGTAATGTTTGTTATGTAAATTTGCTATGTGCTTAGTTTTGCAGTAAATTTTACAATTATGCATGCGCCATCGATACGCAGATTTCTAATAGCCTACACAGGTTCTGTAATAAATTATGCAAATTTTCAATTCATTTATTAAGCACATTTTTTAACTCTGGCGCCATAAGTCAGAATTTTAATCAGGTTTCAGTTTTGCATTAGTATAATGTTTTAGATAATCAACTTCATCATCTGTATGTTCAACTATTATGTAGAAATATGTGGTTCAAACTGATACAATACTAATTAGTTAACATGAACTACGGGCAACCTGATATAAAACTTATCGAAATCATTTTTAAATAGAGATGAGCATAAAATACTTTATCGTATGATAAGTCAAAATAAGTGTACAGTTGAATATTTCTTAATCATTTTGTATACCAATTTGGAGTATGCTGACAGTCAAGACATGTGTGAAACATAAATGTTGGCTCAAAGTTATTGCATCAGATAATATTGTTCAATGCGGTTACTTTATATTCAATATTAAGTTATATAACAATAATATAATTTCCTTTTATGGAGGCGATTGTTCTCGACGTCCTTAAAATTTGAAGTGACTTTCAGCGTTCTCATGTAGTATCATGCTACCTGGCATATAATATAGTAATCAAGTCCACACTACATAGCAATAACAGTCGCGAGCTACATCACACCACTCTATATGCAATAAAACGATGCAATGTGAGCCAAACGAACCATGGTCGAACAGGGACATTGATATGTAGGTTAAGAGCTTAGAACCTGATCAATATTTTTATTGGTCTACGTTTCAATTTTATTTTTATTGATCTAGTGTCTATATTTTTATTAACTAATCATGTAGATTTGATTGAAATTGAAATTTGACCAATACATTTTGATCACAGAGTCTCAGTAGAGAATAAAATTATTATGTGATTATAAAAAGTATAATTTGATAAGTGCACGTATTTCTATAATGTGTCGATGAGGACAATAATAATACTCGTGACAGATGCCGATCAATACTTACAAAACGTATTATTGTAATCAGTTAACTGTGATTGACGAATATACTCGTCCTGGAGAATTGGCAGAATTTTGTCTTTTGGCGAGTATACCATGCGTTTTAATATTTGACCATTGAGTATTCAGATGTGTAAGTTTTGATGAAGAAAAAACAGAACATATTCCACCACTAGCTTGCTATTGATATAATAATTTGCTAAGAATAGTTATTTCTAGTGATTTCAAGTAAGTGAATTGCTTTTGTTATCGAACGTGCCGTGTCGTTCCTTACGACCACGTAACAGAAATTGGCTCAATAGGAAATGGGCACAAGGTAGTACCTACGCTATGCATCTTTTGCACGTAGAGAGATTTGATATTAGTAACGGCCTTCGTTTATAATTATTGCGATTAGTCTAATTGCAGACGGTTTGACGCTTCGATGACTATTTATTCGCAGCAAATTAGCAGACTTATGATGAAAACTGCTGATTCTTATTTGCATCGTTAAATCAAATTAGTGTCATTTGTTCTTACGATTAGATGAAAATATCTCAAGAGTAAAAACGATTGCTGCCAAGTTTTTTGGTTTTACAAAATTTGATTAGTTGCAGCACTTGAATATACTACTGTTCAGGTTCAGGAAGATACTAAAACAGAGTTTATATCTGTCATCGATAATACAATTAATTAATGATGGAGATTTATATTTTAATGCTTATAATATTTGCATTGAATTATACCGTTCGAAACTTTAAATTTTAACGTCAGAGATAAACTTTTCATGAATGAGATACGACGATTGAATTCTCATTATTTTTTTAAATTATGAAATTCATTCAATATTTTTTTCTACTCACTTTATTAACATAACTATTGTTAATAATAAATAGTAGTATGGCCGAAGGCAAGTCCATGGTGTAAGTGCAACCACAAAACAATGATTCCCTTTCTCTTTTTCGTCTATCAACGATCTGATTACCACTTTTCCCCCTTTTTTCGTACATTTTTCATGTATTTTTCTTTCCAAACGTCTGCTTCCATGCTTCCTTCTATGGGGGTATATAAATGCTGAATATCTTAAATATGATGGAAACCTAGGACAATCCAGGACAAAATAACTTAATCCGGGACAAATATTGCTTTCAAAAAACCCGCGACACAAGGTGAAAATCCTGGACTGTCCCAGAAAAACCGGGACGTATGATCATCTTATATATATGCATAATATATTGCACATAATAATATATTTAATATGCCTGCGAATAGAGGACGTATATATGACAAATATATCATATTATTACTTTTTCTTAAACTTTTTTTTCCTTTTGGAAGTTCTTTAATAGTACGCAGTGGTTAACGACAAAGAACGAGAATGAAGATAACTTTTCAACGCCATATAAGTCGTCGACTCTTTCAATTATGTATATACAATACTTTTACAAGTGCAATTCGAAATTGAAGCACATATTTGTGCAAATGGAACTTTTGAAGAATTTGTTTAATAATGTACATCCGTTCTGAACGAGATTTGAGAAATAGAAACTCACTGAGAAAATTTGAAGCATTTAATACGTTGAATGTACGTATATCTAAAAGAAGTGCTATAGTGCTTTTCTGTAAAGTTATTCTTTTGTTATTCATATTTTGAATAAAATAGTAATGTGAATGCGTTGTTGACATATTGATGGCACGTTTTAAAAAAAACAGTACATGCATGCCGTTCAGTACTTTCACTTTTAAATTATTATCGCCATATAGCACTAATAACAGCAAATGATATTAATCATGATGGTCCAGTAGAAGACAGATATCAGTAAAGAAACGTTTGTTTCGAAAATATAAATTATTTATCACATTAAGGGGGTGTCCATTAATCACGTGAGGTTTTAAGGGGAAGGGGGAGGGATTGACAAAAAATCACGAAATATAACGTGGGGGGAGGGTGGTGTATAGCAAGATATCACATGTATTTCTTTTTTACCTGATTTTTTTAAATCCAAACATTTAAAAAAAAAAAAATCTTATAATTTTTTCTCGTAACTAATAATACATGATGTGATGTTTGGTTGGGGAGGGTGGTTAATTTTGTATATCACCAAGGGCGAGGGCAAGGGGATCTAAAAAGCCTTAAAAAAATTATCAGTGATTAATGGGCGCACCCTAATATGCAACGACTTATATGCAGAGCTTCTCTGCGATTCGGTGATAATGATTTTGGTTTTCAGGTTTTATACCCATCTCGGACAGCTTGATATCAAACAGTTGTGATTTTGTTTTTGATTTGAAAATATGGATTGGAATTTGTTTCCAAGTGAAAATAACCTTTTTCCGTCGTTGCTGATAAGAATAAGAATAGATAAGCTAACCGATTATCTTCTAAAAAACAACCGATTCCATATATTATTCATGCATTCAAAATATCAATACCCAAATGTATACCATACCCATGTTCAATTTGTTCATGTTTGAAATAATCAAGCAGTGCTTAAAACTTTTTTCTTCAATACTTATTTTCTTGAATAATTTTTGATATTTTAGATTTTAGGACTCTCAAGTATCAACAGAACCAGTAAATATCGTATTTGCATACTAAAGCGTTTTAACTTTAAATTTTAACTTTTTTTGAGGTTTTGGTGTCGTTGCTTATAGAGTACATTGCTCATTTGAAATGTTATTTAACACGGATAGCAAAAACTGTACCTTTGCTGCCTTCACTGATACTATTTGCTGAATTGTTCTAATATTATGAACTATTTATTTTTGAAACATCTCTTTCATTAGTTGCAATCTTACTGTTCACTTACTTATAGAGCCCTTGTAAAAACATGTTGCAATTACATTTATTTCATTTTCTACAGATTGGTGTCAAATGCTAACCGATATTTCTTCGCTTTATTATGAGTGATTCACTATAAAAAATTCGTTTATTTTATGACATGATAATTCATATTTAGAATGTAATGATCAAAACTACTAAATTTGTTTGATAACGCATATGAATAACTACATGTTTAACAAGTTAAGCATATCAGATGCATACCTATCTCTGGTATGCATCTGATATGAGTATACGTTACGCGTCCACCGATGAATTCTTGAAATGTTTTATATTCTTTCCCATATATTAGAAATAATTTATTGTCAGTTAGTTAATATCGCTTATTGAGCCAGTATATTAGATCTGATAATAATTGAAATTTAATGGTATATACGAATAATTGACATTATATTGAATGAAATATGTATCATAGTAAGATTACTCAAAGGTTTATTGATTATAGTATTATTTATGTGATTTTGTTTTTTCAGGCCACAAGAAAAGTATCAAAATGTGGATATCTGTTTGTGGCACCCGATTGGGATTTTACGAATCCGCTGTATAGATCAAAGGTAAGCCATTGTTTATAATTATTTTTATCAGGATAGACACAAGCGCCAAGGCTTTCAAGCTAAGCTTAGATATAAAGTATGTAGAACTTGAGGATTTAATATAAAATTCTATTCACTATTTTTCTTACTGCATTTTTATTAGGAATTCGTATATATCGCTTGTTATTTTATTGAGAAAGTTTTAGTAAATATTGTAGGTTGTTGAAGCAATCATTGTGATTATTTTATTCTCCTGGTGAAATTTCTTATATTTTCATATTTGATTTTGAAATGGTTTAATGCATAAATTTTATATAATCTACGAAACTTAAATGTAAATACTATTGAGACTTCTAATTATTGAGAATATTAAAATATTTAATAAATTATCCCGTTCGTATTGTGATTCGCAGATATGAAACAGCACAAAAACATAACGTATCTGTGATAATTAAATATTTAAAAAATTAACTCTGTTAGTATAATCAAATCAAGGTATTTATCATATCTATAGATATGGAACCGCTTCTTGTAAAAAATGTCTGAGTTAAATGGCAATTTTCGGAAGGTTGATGACCGCCTACATGATAATGAGATACATTAGCTGTTAATCACAAAAACGTTGTTTATGATATTATCGACTTACTAAAAATTCAACAAAGGCAATTAAAATATTTTTTTTTTTGTTTTTGCATAATTTCTAGTTTACTATGTATTACTTCGATGTTATAATACATATACATAGTGAAATTCATGGAATCAACTAATGTATTATTTACTTGAATATTATTATGTCTACAAATTGGGTACGGTTTTCCTTTCAACTTTTTGGATCTGGAATTAATTTTCTACGATTTGTAATACACTGAGTTTATAATATTCATTTTTATCTAAATTTTGCGCTTAATTTACATGATTTTTGTAATATATCGTTACTGTAGAGGCATGATTTGAACACAAATATCAATATTGTTCTACGCATGATGATAAATTTCTTAAATTGAAAACTTTATATTTTTGGTCTTTATGAATCAAATTCATATTCGAAAAACTTTCATTTCAATAGATGGTTTGTTGTAAAGATATGCTAATGATCTTTTCCGACAATTATAAATTCGGTAGTTTTTTTCTTTCTATCATTTTGTAAAATTTTTCAGCACTTTTTCATATGATTTCGAGTGAAATCATCAATGAAAATTTAATGATATTTTGACCTGGAAATGGTAACAATGAATATTATTTAAATTCAAATATGTATATGTTATATATATTATTTTTGGTATACCTTATACATTTAACCATATACTTAATTTTTTTCTTTAATTCCAAGTTCTAGTTTTTAGACTCGTCTAACAAATATTGGGTTTTATCGCCGAAATAAAAACTCTTGATCTCGAATCTCTTTTTTTGAAGCGCCGTAAATTTGATGAAAGAGAAATTGTACATCAACAAGAAATACAAGTTCATGAATATCAATATTATTATAGGTACTTTAAGGCGTGATTTCGAATAAACTATCTATAGTGAAATCTGTTTGTTCGTCTTTTTGAAATAGGCCTCCGGCGTTTTTACTCATTAACATGGGTTAGTTATACGACTGGTTTAATTTTTTATCGATGCGTTCAAAATCATTTTAATAATTTATGATTCGTTAACAATTAAAATAATTGTACTGATGAATATTATACTCCTTATATGCATTCATAAGCATACAATATTATACTTAAAATAACTGCCAAAAAATACTACTAGAGTACTGTGTCAAGTTTTGCAAGAGATAGTTGGTGTTTTTTTGTTTTTTAAAAATTAAATGTAATTTAAATAAAATATTAAATAATGTGTTAGTATATAATTAACTGTTTTGGAATTACACTGAAGATGAGGCATAGGCCTGGAAACGTCTATAATTATTAAATAAAGTGTTTGTTAAAAATTTGAGTGTTGTATTGTTCCTATTTAACATTTAATATTCGTTCCACTTATATCACAAAATTATATAATATATATATATATATATATATATATATATATATATATATGTCTCAACGTCTAACAAAAAAATCTAAAGCATATATAACTTGAAAGTCGTAAAATCAAATCATACAAGAAAAGGGCGAATTGTCAAAACCACCCTTCGTCCCAGGACGGTTGTGACAGACTTAAACATATGTTAACATACCCACAAAATTTGTGATACGCTCACTTTTGGGAACAAATTATCGTTATGATCGAGCTAAATTATATACTCAAAAACTAATTGCTGGTAATTAACTACTAATGCTCAACTTATAGTAAAATAACAAACAAAGTAATCTATCTGGATACAAGTAACAGTTATTATTAAAAGAAATCGAACGAAAGAACCTACTATTGACCTTTTAAAATCAATACGGTCTACAGATCGTGTCAATGTGAGGTCCCTTTCTTGATGCAATAATGGGAACTTCTTCTATACATCATCTTTCTTTTTTCGGACTCTATCTCAAAATTATTAAAGTTTAGATGTTGTGGCGACTGTCACTACCGTACCCCGGTACAACCGTACACAGCCTCCCCTACCAGTAAATAAATTGTATTAAGTTGTTTTGATAAGACCATAGGTGTATATGCGTTAACTTTCTATTGGTGTCCACAGTTTATCAGCGAAAATTTATAAGGCATACTAAAATTTACATTCGATCAAAAAAATAATACGACGTTACATTGTCTGAAATGTAAGGTATTAATTGTCTCAATGTTCTCCCAATGTGTCGGTGTCTTTCATCATTTGACATCGAGCAAAAACATAACTACATACGACATATCATAAGTGAAATTTAATCGATTTTGTTCTCGAACCACAGACAAGAGCTGAGATCGATTTGCATAAGTGATTGCACTCAAAGTCGAAGAAAAGCGTTTTTGATTGGGCAGATTGTAAAGGAAACTGAATTTTGGCGGTCTCTTTGGCAGGCTTTCTTTACATGTTAATAGTTTTTACATTAACTAACTTTTCAGGGAAAGCTTATTTTCAAAAATAGGTTAGCATATACACAATTTGCTAAAATCGAGTTCAGCTGTAGTTCGTGCATTTGACATGTTTTATAACGAATTGTTTCAGAATAGCAGTAGATTTGTTAGTAGAATATTATCAAACAACCTGCAAATTAAATGGAATTTTATTACTTATTAAGTGTTAAATTTTATGTATAATAAATCGTAAAAAATTACATGACACGGTATGCAACAATTAAATCTGTGTTGTCATTTATTCAACAAATAAAACATATTTTAAAATAATCAACGCTAGACAAAGTCCGTTCGATCTCTAAATATATTTCTAAGACATAGAATAGAGTTGGGCTTAAAGGTCCGTGAGGAAAAAGGTCCACCAATATCTCAAACATGTAAAGTCAGGTTTTTAACAACAATATTTGAAACCAGAGCCTTAAATTTTGCCTTAAATCAAGCAACGTCGTTATCAGAATATAATCGTCCATGTTTGCCTATAATCATGATGTACGAATCTAAAAAAATATTAGCTGTACCAATCTTAATAATCCTGTATTTTAAAGTCGAAATTTAAATTTTGTTATTTATATATGGTGAATATTATTTTGTATCAGTCTTCAAATATGAGATGTCTTTATCGATATTATGAATCTGGGAATGTTTCAAAATTATTCGGAAACCTGTTTGCAAATCTGGTTATCTGTAAATCACATGTGTATAATATGCACATAATTTTTCAAAGTATGCTAAAGTTGCTTTATATGAACTTGGTTTATTAACGACATCTGCTGAATGTACATTACTCGAAAAATAAATTTATTCACTTTTTTGGTTCGTTCTTTATGTGTGTTTGCTAACTTACATTCCTAATCTGATATTTTCTTCGAAATGGTAACCCAGCGATTAACAGCTCTTCTTTGAAATTACTATTCATTATATATATTAGATATGTGTATCTAATAGTGTTGGATTGTATGTAATGCAGCAATGCCCGTGAAACTTTATATCATGCTGCTTGATATCGAGCTTGGACGTCCCGAGACTAACTTGTTAAGCCACGAAAGTTTAAAAAAATGAGTGTTTTTTTTGACGTTTGTTAAAATAAAATTGGACGATTTACTTGGTATAACGATAGAGTACTTGGTCTTAATAAACATACTAAACCATTAAAGTCCTACGGAAACTGGTTCAATTATAAAAATTATTGATTTTTGAAAATTTGCTTTTAGAAAATACTCCAAGTTAACGTGTTCGTTCGTTTTCAATTATGTGTAATAAATCCACTCGGAATACTTTTAATCACTGATAAATTAATTTATTTTTTATTGATTAAGTCGATTATTTACACATATCGGGAAGTTCATGTAACTTGCCTTAAGGCAAAATTCCAATACCGACTAGTTTTGTTTTAAAATAAAAATTAGTTGCCAAATTTCGGTCAACTTTTTTTATTTAAGTTACGTAATTTTTTTATAATTGACTATTTTGTTATAAAATTATTTATAATTATGGATAGTGGTTATCACATCTCTGATATTTTTTAGCATATAACACAGACATGGATTTTTGCCTAAGGCTTGACACAAGCTTTTAAATTGTTTAAAAAGAAAGTTCCTACGCTTCTTTGTTTATTGTTAGGTAGGTAGCTTCAAATGCGTATAAACACATACACACACATACATATGTATATATATATATATATATATATATATATACATTGTAGGTATTGTAGGCTGCACCCATTAGGTGACCCATTATTGTACTGCACTCTCTACGCATCCCTGTGTTCTGTGTTTTCCTATATATTTAATTAAATGTGTAAACATTCTTGCCAATTAAAAATATTTTTTTATAGTTAATGTTAAAATAATAATTATAAACATTATTCGAAGTGATAAATTTAATTCAATTTTATTAATGAAAAAAATTAATTCAATCACACCAATTTCTAAATTGTAATCAAATATGCTTTCAAAGGTATATAACATTTTGTTAGTTGATTTTGAGATAATGAGTTAATATTAGAGGGA